GGCAAAGCCCAATATCCATGGCTCAAAGCTCCTGCTCTGTATTTGGTGGGATCAGAAGGGTGTCATATACTACGAACTGCTAAAACCGCATGAAAGATCTACGTTGCAAAACCGGTAAAAACATACCTGGAAACACTTAAATGGGAAGTGCTACCGCACCCGCCGTATTCTCCTGATATTGCACCTAGCGACTACCACTTGTTTCGATCATTAGCTCATAGCTTGTGCGAGCAGAAGTTCACATCTTACGAAAATTGTACAAAATGGTTCCTGGATTTCATCTAAAGATGAACAGTTCTTCCGACGCGGTATTCATTCACTGCCCGAAAGATGGTCAAAAGTAGTAGAAAGTGATGGGAAGTACTTTCATTAATGTATTTTTTAATGCTCATGTGAAATAAATAACATTCTTTCATTAAAAAAACGCTACGAATTAATTCCAACACCTAATATATATATATATATATATATTAGTGATCCTAATGCGAAACATAAAACCTCAATGAACGAAATGATGATTTACATTCTACATCACCTTCCTAGTCATTACCAATGTCATCACCATTATGTTGTTACACCACTCAGTCATGCAATCGTTACATGTTGGCACGAGGATACGTATCATGGAGGATACCTGTAAATCATTGTACTGTACGAATATCCGTTTTGTTACAGGTGTGATATCATTATACAGATTAATTAACAGTTATTTATTTATGACACAAATAGATCAAGATATGATGTGGTGTAGTCTTTGATGATTTTATAGTAATATCACAAGTTATGATGTGACTTTTGAGAATTTACTATAATATAAACGTGACTTTATTTGCTATGAAGTATAGCAAAATTATCATATGTAAATAATTCAAACTTTCTATTATTAAGTTGCTACTTTTGCGAATGATTGCGAATGATATAAAGTATTTTCACAATATATTATAAGGGTACAACAAGTTACAGTCGGGTAACTTCGTTTTATAATAAATTCAAGATTAATAGAAATCAAATCTTTTAAAATCGAATTGATAAACAAATAGTATATATTTTGTATCTGTAATTTGCAAAGTATGAGAGAAAGAGAGAGAGAGAGAGAGAGAGAGAGAGAGAGAGAGAGAGAGAGAGAGAGATTTCTAAATTTAACATGTTTATAAATTTGCATCCCTCAACTTGAAATTTGATTTCTAGCACGGATGCTTTAATTCAAGATACAATAAGGAGCAGTTTTAAAGAATGCACCGTTATCACGATTGCACATCATTTGAATACGATTATAGATAGCAATCGGATCATCGTGATGGAGAACAGTTCTATCGTAGTAGGTTTTTCCGTTTTAATAATTAAAGCGTGAATGGGTTAAGAAGAATATTGATTTTGTAAGACAAAATTAAGAGATATAATTTTCTATACAACTGTCTAAAAAGGTTGTTTATAATAATATTGATTAATAGCATGATTAGTTCAATCTCTGAAAGATGTTTAGAATAAAACTCATTCTAAAAATTTCATTCTTTAAGATTGAATATTGGGATGTTCTTATTCAAGACCAACTTAATTTTTACTCTTTAGAGAGAAAATTTACTTCAAATTATTCAGAGAGTTTAAAATCATTTTTTCATTTAACAATATACTTTTTCCTGAAAATTCAATGTTACGTATACAAAGAATAATCAAGTTTTTTTTGGAAAATTTTGTAATATCCTAGAGGAAAATTTTCATATGCATTTCATAATTAAAATTCAATCAATGTCAAATCATATCAATAGGAATTTGGTTGTCCATATGAACTGTTACACGACAAATCAAATGGTTACTTTTCACAAATGATGGAAAAGATGGGCAATCAGATGGCGCAAAGTCTTTTAGAACAGGCGAAAAAGGCTTGCGAGAAGAATAACGATCATTGTGAATTGAACTTGTCGGTGCAAAATACTGAGTGTGAGAGCGACACAACGCTTACAGAACAGACCGCTTTATAGATTTTCTTCTTCTAAAAAGCTTATACTAAAAATATATATACTATATATTGTATATAAAGTTATATAAACAACGACTCGTGAAATTGATCGACCCGTGCTATTAGAAATTTTATTTTGAAAATTCGTGAATTAAAATATCTATAGTAAATTAACGTTATATTTGTTTGATTATGTATTATTAATATTAAAAAGTCAGTTTTTGTCTATGCTTTCTTTGAATCAGTTAGTTATATTATGTATTATATTTGTTTCTATCCTATGAGTTATTGTATGTAATTTTATAGTATATATGTATATTTATACATGTTCTCTTATGCCAATTAGTACATGATCAAATTTACGAAGAAAAGGAAAAGTAAAAGAAGAAAGAGAACTATAAATCAATAAAAAGACATAAATCGAGAATAAGACATAACTTTATGTTTAATATTATTTGCTAACTTCTAATAATTTCAGTTTTTCTTTACTGCCCCATAATTATAACGCAAATATGTCGTCATCTACTGTAAAGACGGATTAGGATTAAATATGTTATTTTTTTGATTATTTTTGTCAGCGTATGTGACAAAATAAAATATGATAAATACTTACCTCTTATATGAAATCTTGATTTTTAAGTATTTTATACACTGCGACGAAATAAATTGAAGTATACACGAAGACAGGAGTATATCTATAGCAAGCGTGTAATGCGCGCTATAGACAATCAATTATGTCTGTTTGCGCAGCTTGAAATCTTCAAAAATGTTTGCACTTAAAATGATATATATATATATATATATATATATTATATATTCAGGCGTAGAAAGAGAAAGCGAAGATGCTGATCGCATAAAGTGCAACGCGGATCTATTATTCTGCTAAAGTTCTGTTTCTCGTCAACATTTATTTTCAAATTTTAAATATCACACTGACTCTATATACACTGACCCTTTGAGGCGGTGTAGCAAAATTCTACTTTGTGCATAAAACTTATACTGCAGCCACAGAAACACGGTATACCGAATGAGTTCGCCTATTGCTAGCCACAGAAATACGGTTATACACTGTCTGCAATAATGCAGCTAAAAATAAATGCTACAAGTGTGCTCGTTTCCTGATGAAAATAAAAATCGGAGCGTAAGTCGAATGGAATTGGCGAATAATAGGAGCGTAATCAAACTTCTAGAAGACAAAAATTGAAACAATGAAACATAAAAGAGGCATTTACGTTTTTTTTACATTCCATTGTTTCAATTTTCGCCTCTTAGAAGTTTCGTTTACGCTTCTCTCATTATATTACTCTCTCATTATATTCGATTAGAGAGCCTATAATCAGAGTGGCGCCATAGGTGTATCACTTGTGATTGGTCCGCCATATTTTACCCATTCCCTT